AAAGAACATCCACATTCTTCTGTTTTCATTTTCCTTGCCTAAACAAAATCATTATCTACTGAGTCTAAACCAGTCTGGGGTCTTACAGATGTATTGAGAATGCAGTCCCGGAATTCCATTCATTGTATACATTAATACAAATGGGAATAAGTGTTGCATTCCAGTATATTTAAAGGGCATCAGGTTGGAGAGGACAGGATTAGAATTAGTGTGAATATAGCAATATGTGCTTCACTATCTGGGACCAACTGTCTTATTTATATGCTATTCATTTAAAATATTCAATAAATATCCTATGAATTGGTTTGTTAAAATGTGTCTGGGATAGTGTTTGGTAGAATTCTGACTGGGTATGAATGGAAAAGTTTATTATACATTGGTTTAGAGAAGGTGTATGATAGCGAATAGGCTTGAATTACAGAATATGTTGTATGACTATGGAGTTGAAAAGATAATTGCTTAATGCGATGAGACTGGTATATGATAAAAGTAAAGCATGGATGAGAATAAATGGAATGCTTAGTGAAATGATTACTAAAGATGAAAAAATTGATGGAGAAATTATAAGACATGCAACTGTGCATAGAAATATAATAGTATGTAGTCTGCTTCAAGGAATGAATGTTTGTCAGAGTAGCAAAAATGGTTGTATATAAAAACATGTTCCTGCCCATTTTATATTATGAAAGTCAATGTTAGACATGACAGGAAAAATATAAAGTTGGATGCGGTTGGATCAGTCAAATCAACCCTAGAGATTAATGGGGTGGCAGATTGCCTTCACATCCAGATGCAGTAGGAATGGGTTACTTAAGAAGTGTCTGTGATGAAACAAGAAAAGATAGGGTCAAGAATCAATGGGTGCCGAGCAGGTTGAATATGAAGGTGAATGAGCAGTACAAAAAACATTGGGATGGCTTGATCATTTAGATAATGAATGAAGATGAAATCACAAAAGAGATATATGCCAGAAGAGTGAATGGCTGAGGGGAAGGGGCAGACTGAAAAAATCATGGTGTGATGGAGCTGATGATCTCACCAGAAAGAGAAATTTAAAGAACCAAAGGCAGTGTATGAAGCTGTATATGGAAATTTTATTTATTTATTTAATTAAATCAATTTATATAGCCACCCATCTCACCACAGGCAACTCTGGGTGGCATACAACAAAGCTAAAACAGTAAAATACATTAAAAATATACAAAACAAAATAAAACAGAGAATAAAAGGATATTAAAAATAAGGGAGCCACCTCACTAATTCCCTCATACCCTGGGGTCCCCAGGCCTGCTGGCATAACCAAGTCTTAAGGGACCTCCAGAAGCTCAACAATGACGAGGCCAGTCTCACCTCAGCGGGGAGAAGATTCCACAGCACAGGCGCCACAACAGAGAAGGCCTGCCAAATGTATCTCCCTAGGCAATGGAACCTGTAACATGCCCTCTCTGCTGGATCTGGTAGGACGGGCAGATGAAATTGGGGAGAGGCAGTCTCTCAGGTAACCCAGCCCCATGCCATGAAGAGCTTTAAAGGTCAACATCAGCACCTTGAATTGGACCCAGAAACAAACTGGTAACCAATGCAGAAATGTGGAAGTTATGATTGTAAGGATAGAAAGGTATGGGGAAGCATAGTGAATGGTGCTGGGGTAAACCAGATTTAAATTTCCTGTTAAAAAGAATTCTATCTTCATTTTGTGTACTACTTCTGTCGTGTGTGTGTGTGTGTGTGTGTTCTTAGCAAATATTATTTACCCTGAAAGGGAATTGTGTGTTGGATATGTATGTATGTTCTCTGAATGTAGCTGAAATCACAACAGTTGCCCATAAGAGTATTGCAAGGTCTATACTGAAAAGACACTTTAGATATCAGATTTATATTGCAGGTTCCTTACTAAAAATCTATTTAGTGTAGATATTTTTTTATTGTATGCCATCCAGAGTCACATTTGGTGAGATGGGTATCCACATAAATATGATAAATAAATATTAAATCAATAGTAGCTGTAGCTTTCAATGAGCCTAAAAAATTGGGAATCCAAATGTGTTTGATATCAGTGCTAAAGTGACATATTCTAAAACAACAACAAAAAGACTATAAAGGTAAATACAGTTACTCAGGTAGAGGAATAGTTCAAATTATTGCTTTGTTCCTCACAAATAACCAAAGTCTAGTCTAACTGTTTCTAGACTACATCACCATGGACTGAAATAAGGAACTCATGGTCAAATTCTTCTACATTTTTTTTTTTTAAAAACCACACAAATCTAACAACACAAGAAGTGAACATCTCAGGCAGAAGGCTAGGCTAGGTTTCTTTGTGTAGTCATTTTGCTAGGTACGAAAACTTCCTTGGATGGAAAAACTTTCAGTGCTGTTACTTGATCTGCAATCTAAGGTAGATGTGGTTAACTTCAGATTTACTACCTCATCTTTTGTTTGCAAGAATCAAATTGAGGGGCCCAACTGGGCAAAATTAGAAACCAGAAATACTATTTTGTTGTGTTCTAATTCTTACTTTATTTTTTTTACCTTTATTTCATAACTGTTGTTTTGAATGACTAGCAGCCAATACCATCTATTTTTTACAGAAAAAGGTAAGATGTAAACAATACTTTTAATTAGTTAAGAGGCCAGTGTTTCCTAGACTTGTGATAATTTTTTGTTCTGGTTTTCTGAACTACCACTGGAGATCATTCCCATAATTCTCACATCACTCTTGAGATTTAAGGAGACAATTAATTTTGTCCCACTCATATTTCTGAATGAGTCACTGTTTTGAGTATCATTTCTGACCAGAAAGTACCAAGATCAGGCCAGCAAATTAGAAACACAAGAGTAGCAGTAAATTATGCAGAAAGGCAGACCCATTTTTAGATGGCTAACTGTGGCTCACTAGAGGCTTTGACTAACAGTAGAAGCATACCTATTCTTACTAAGATATCTACCCCAGCATAGTAGTCCTCCTCTGACACAAGAAGATGCTTCAGCACTTAAGAATGACTGGACTAACAAAGAACCTATGGCTCTCTATGTTAAGTTACAATAGAACATTTACATTTTATTGTTCAGTGGGGTTTACACATGGGTAAATGCTCTATGTTTTTATATATTTGCTTCAATGTACTTCATGTGTCATTAAGGCAACGTTTCATCTGCTCTATATCTTTATGCTAGAGCGCTGTTAAAAATACAGGAGCAAAGCCTGTGAAGAGATGGCACTCATATGTTCAACAGAACTTCATGGATTTTTTAAATGAATGTGCTGCTGTTGTAAGCCATGCTGAAGGGGCAGGAGATTAAAAATTAATGCTAGCCAGTGAATCCCTAGCAGAGCTGGAAACAGCACTGAGGTGCTTCCAGACAGGGTTCCTAGTAGTACCAAAGATATTATGCAATTATTGTGCAATAATTCTCCCTTTTCTGACATAAAGGTTATCTGCATCTACAGACAATTCCATGAAAGAGCTGAGTTAATTGTAAAATAAATGTCTTAGGTATCTGCACCATCACCCAAGAAAAATAAGGCAGTGGAGTTACATAAACATAAGAAACTTCTTTTATGAATTCAGACTTTTGGTCTACCTCACCAATTCCTACTTACTCTGTTTATCAGCAGCTGCTCTCCCATAACACTAATTGGGTTTTTATAAAGCTCAATAACTGACTTCCCAATTATTATATTTTTTGTATCACATTTTATGTCTCCCTTGTCCTAAGAAATTATGGAAAACAAACATCAACTTTTCCTAATTCTCAAAACTATCCTGTATTAAACTGAAACCTTGCAGAGATATTGAGTAATACCTAATTAGTGGCTGGTTCACACAACACACTATACTGGCTATGTTTGCACAACACATTGTGCTATAATTAGGTAGGCTAGTTTGTAGTTTACTAACCTACCTAATTATAGCACAATGTGTTGTGCAAACACAGCCAGTATAATAAGGTTATGCTTCTGTGTCATGAGAACTTAGAAAATGATGTTGAATAAACCATAGTTTCATTAATCATGGTAATAGCTAATGATCATCACACAACTGACAGTTTAAACTCAAGTGATCTACCCATTAAAATAGAAGCCCATCCATTACATCACATTATTTCTTCACTGCTTCACTATAATCTAAAATTCATCAATGCAAGTATTTCCTAGTACAGAAATAGGAGTAGGAGACACTGACTTGTTGATTTTGACCATTGTTTTGTAACATCTTAGAGATAAGTGGCATCTTAGAGATTTTAGGCTGCAATTCTTACCTAATTAATCAATTAATACACTTACCTGAGAGTAAATCCTACTGAATTCAGTATGTATTGGGGCTGCACATCATGCTAAACCATACAGTGGTACCTTTGCTTAATGTCTTGTGTGAACCCATCCCGAGTGGACATACAGCACAACCATAAGCTTGCTTCAATTGAGGTAGATTTTGCTCCACAAAAGTTGGTTGTTTCAGAAGTGTCAGTCTTAAAGGAACAAGATATTTTTATTGTGGCTGCCTTGCTGCATAGGTCCTCCAGAAATCACTACTATTTATTTCTAAAACTGCCCTTTAGTATTCAAGACCAAAAAAAGGCCTTTACATGCTAATAAGAGAGCTCCATAGCATAGTTTTGGACTATAATCAATATAAAACTGACAGCCACTTAAAGAGTTACAGATACTCCAAGTTATAAATAGTCAAATGCCTGGGGAAATCAAAGGTCTTTACACAAAAGGGATTGTAAAATGGGCATCAAGTGAATCTCCTTAGTAAGGATTTCCCCAAGTGATACAAGGCTACACTAATTATTTTGGAGTTATGGAGTTACCACATCTTATAGTAGGAGAGACAGGTAAAAAACCTCAATGACATACGCAGCTTTAAAAGTAAAGTTTAAAAAGAAATGGTTCCAAACCAGTTCGGATATGATCCCACACCCAGATCCCTGCTAATGTGATTATACCCACACATGCATATATGAAGGTACTTCCTCTTTTGCTTTCTTCTTACCATTGGCTGCAGACATAAGGAACAGAACTGGAAGAGAAGCATGCAGTCCCTACTGTCAAATGTGCAAATATAGAAGATATATTGCGAAGGAAAGCTGAGTGTTGAGTGCATATGACCTGATCCAGAGAGAGCCTCCACCCTCAGCTTTCTCAACTCTCCCCACACTGGTATTACCACAGCTACACCAGCTTTTATAGGCCCTACCTCTTCCACAAACAGTATTTCCATTCTGGCTGGGTCACAATGGCAACAATGTACAAAGAACTTGCTTTAGAGCAAACAGTCCAGCCTCAAGTCTTGTCAGCTTCAGCAAGCATTAGTTATTACCAACTGCTGCTCCAATTGAGTTCAATGTAGTTTAGGCAGAAAATGTTTTAGGTGCATGGAGTCCACTGGTGCTTAGCTTGCTCTCACCCCAGCCAACCCTACTCATACTCCTCTTCTCCCTTCAGCATCTGATATATATGTTATCCAGCATAAGATTGTGAAGGAAGCTGAAGAAATACTTTAAATGTAATGCATATTATTCTCCAGGAAGTTTGTAACCAAAAGTCTACTTAGCACTGATCTCCTTGTTGACTGCTTAATGTTCAGCTACACAGAAGAGAAGAAGGATGTTGCCATCAGATTATGCACACGCTCATTATCTGCCCAAAAGTATATTTTGAAGATATAAAAATATAACTCTTAGATAACTACAACCATGAGGGATAACTTTAAAACCAGAAGTATGTTGGTGTTCCACAGATGAGTACAATATGTCCATCAGACAAATGCAGCTCTCCCAATTGGATGCCCTCTTCCAAACATTTTTAGTCTCAACTTCCATTTAGTAGCGCTAGTGATCATGCTGGCTGGCAGGGATAGAAGTCCAACACTACCAAAGGGTCTTAAATTGGGTATATCCCATACTCTGCAACAGAATAGCCAGGGAAGAAATGAGGTGGCACCTTACAAAATGAGCCAAAGTAATTTGTTTTTTCCTACAAAAATCAAATACTTACAAGGATCAGTGTAGGAGTAGAAAAAGACTTGCAATGTTTTAAACCTCCTTTCTCAAATCTATCTTCATGTGCCAACCCATCTTTTGAAGTCAGAAAGCTAATTCCATGAGCAGTTTTGTTTCCATTACTGAACTGCTTTTAGGATTGCTAATTTCTTTTTCACACTGAGCCTTCTGTGTCTTTAATACCTTCACTTGGGGACAACTTTATCTACATGACAAACAGACATTCAACAGGTGAAGCTTTGTTCAAAATGGAGGTACAGATTTGGGAAAACATTAAGTGAACAAGATTTTGCTTGTCCCATAGTTGTAGAAGGAGTAGAGGTCCTGTCAGAAGAAGCCGCTCATCTAGTTCAGTAGCAAATGTCTTTTGCATTCACCAGCCATTTTAATCAGCACCTCTCTCTTGGTGCTTTGGGTACATACCACAGCATATGAACATATTGCAACTTATTAGATAAGCATATATTTAGAAATACCTGCATATACATAGAACTGTATAATTATGCCCAATATAAACATTGTTTGGGAAAAACAATCCTTAGGCATGCACAAGGCAACAATTTGCTGATCTTGTAACCAGAAAAATTATGCAGCTGCTTGGGAAGCCCAATTCTTGACAAATTTGGTATGGTTTTTAGTGTTGTGAAGGATACTTAAGCATATTTCTATGTATATGCTTCTAATTACTCTGATCTCAGTTCTCAAATCACCCTCATCTTCATCCTAGGATATACCAAAAATCTTTTTGACATTTTCTGTGAGGAAGTCCATAAAGCAATGAAGAGTGCTCAGAGGAGACCACAGCATTTAAAGCAGGCCAGGTTCTTGTTCACTCAGTGAAACACAATTGATGTCCACACAGCTGCTTCTAATACAATCTGAGAAAAAAACTGTCTTCCCCGCAAGCAGAGCTGGCACCCACAGAAGAATTGGCCTCTGTCAGGTTTCCTTTATATCTACAGAATCCACATCAGAGGTTGAATAAGAGCATCCCAGCTGGAAAGGATACTCTACTTTGCAAGAAAATCACCTTGAGTAAATACAGATAGTAGCTTGGGAGTGTTCCCATGGCCTGTGGTAATCTTAGGCATCATTCCAAGTCTACAGTTCATCAGCTTTCACTGCAGAAACTCAAGGATTCTCAGAGGGCACCAAGAACGGAAAAGGCATGGACTTTTCCTCCTTGATTGTCTCTTTGGCAGTAAGATCCTGTTACAGTCTTCATCCCCTGCTTTAGTTTTTCAGAGATTTGCAGCTATGATTTTATGTTTGTTTTATTCTGCTTCATTATGAACTCTGTGGCAGGTTCGGCAGGTTTTTGAAGCAATGCAAGACCTGTTTGACCCAAGATTACTGGGATAAAAAAAGAATGTGTTTATTCAGGCAATGGTATTCTGGCTTTCCTATTTCCAAATCTCCTAAGTGCAGGAGGAAGGGGTGTGTGGTGTCTTCACCTAGTAACATACTATTTGATTTCAGATCTGGTCCTAGATTTTCTAGCTGACATGAATCATCTCATACAATGTCATATCAGGCAGAATTGGGATGATAGCTGGGAAGAAGACACTGTTCTTCCCAGATAGGAAAAAAGGGCAACAATAGAAACACTTTCATAAGAAAGTTCCAGGTAACATGAGATCATGTCTCAAAATAAGTATTAAGGGTGTGGCATGGAAATTTCTTGGAATGAGGGTGTGAGTAGAAAGCTGTTCAGTGCCAGGTTTCTGTTGTCCTGAATTAACTGTATAGAAAAGTGATTTGTGTTGGTGGCTGAGTCAGTTTTTGCTGTTATGTACACACATAGTAGGGGTATGATGGAATTTCCAAATAACTGTGTTCCCTCCATTGTTAACCAGAATTGGAATTATATAAAGTAAACTAAATGGCAACACGTAGTTTACCTTGGGTGATCTCAAAAATGCTATGCAAGGTTAGATATGTTTAATACTTGGATGGGAAACTACCAGCAATCCCAGATCTGTAGGGTAGATTAAGAAGTAGAAAAAGAAAAAGAAAATTTCCTAGAAGAAGGTAAAGGTCACTGTCATACTGTTGTCAAGTAAATTACATGGATACGGCCATGAGATTATAAGAAGTCACAACTGACTTGAGGGAGTTTTGATTAATTAAGTTCTGGTTGATTTATATGTTCATCATGTGATGACTGAACTATCAAGTGGTAACTGGCATAAGCTCCAATCTAACATCAGAAATATATCTTTAATTTGCTATTATCACTCCCACTCAGGCTTTTTAAAAGTTTGAATAGTTATGCCCTAGTCATCAATAGCTGATTTTTGTGAGGTACGTCAACTTGGAAACCAACCCAGAGATTAGCCTTCTTCAGCATAAAGCTTTCCAGATGTGTTGGTTATTCTGGAAGTTGTCATCCCAACACATCTGGAGAGTGATTGATTGGCAAAAGCTGTCAGAAATCTTGCTAAGCAGAGCCCTGGTTCAAAACTTCCATGAACTCGTCAGCTGCCTTAGGCAAGTCATCACCAACCTCAACTCTCATCTGTTATACGGAGATAATAATAGTAGTCTAACTCCTGGAGCTGTTTTTAAGATTGCTGAAATAATGTATGTGAAATACTATGAACATACAGTATAAATTATCCTGAGAGCTCTGCTAATCATCTGAGTTCTATTTTTTGAGCTCATCACTTCTTAAAAGTTTTGCTAGCCCTCCATGAAATGGTAAAAGGCCATTTTCAATGTGACTCAAATTACTTCCACAGAAAGTCCCAGAAGAAAAGAGGTGGTCCATTTTTTTTCTCTTCCACCCCTCCTTCTTGTTTGGCCTCTTTCTCCAATCCTGCCTAAGTAAGTCTACAGCTGCAGCACACACTCAGCTTCCTCACTGCAACACCTTTGCTGTGCTAGTGCAGACAATCACATATCCCAGGATGAAGCTGCACAATATGTCAGCTACTTTGGCACAATCCAAAAGCAGATAGACTGATCGAGCAAACCAACCCTGAAGCATTACCAGTGGCCCTATAGACCAAAGAAAGGCACAAAGCCTGGCTATTAAAAATAGTTGCTGGTTTTTAAAAATTAAGATAAGAAAGGGGTGAGTGGGCAGGAGAGGACAGTCTCTGCGCTTGTTTGTTCTTTAACCTTCCTGGTATTCAACAACACCCACCCTGGACACTCATTTGCTGCCTACAAAATACTGCAGACTGGGCACAAATGCACCATGAGTGGCCTCCTGGCACAGGGAAGCTAGGAGCAAACAGGCCCTTGCTGCAGCACCGGTGGCAGCCTTCCTTGAAGCATATGTCTCTTTCTAGGTGGGGAAGGCAAAGCCAAGGAGGCTTGTAATCAACCCTGGCTTTGCAGCACATGAAGTCCCCAAATTCAGCCTGCCTTAACTATTCCCTGCACTCCTGAGCTAGACAGGCAGCTGCAGGGAAATCAGGGATCATCTGGGGATTTAGGGATGTTGGCACACACACATGCATACACAATTATTTTGGATGTTAAATACTGGTAAGAAATGGAAAGCATGGCGGGGGGGGGGGGGTTTTCCCCTAGAAACTTGTTTCTAGGGAAGCTTTCCCCACCTGGCAT